TATGAAAAAATGAAATTCCGAATAAAATCATGACATTTCCGTATGGAATTGTCAATTTTATTTCTCTTCTCATCTTCTCATCATCTTCATTATAATAAAGTTTTAAGATAATTAATTACTGTGAATGATAAATAGCTAGCGATTGCTCATCTGATTATTACTGTTGCCATGGATTTGATGGTATTATATCTTTAAACAGTCTGCAATATCAAAATAAATTAGTAATAAATTTTCAATAATACGATTTCTGTACTTAATGAAATCACAATACAAACACACCTATCTTATTTTCTACAGAATAAATAGTATTTCTATTATTTTATTTTTAAATATTCTAGCACATTCGCTTTAGCTGCAGTTCTGTATGAACTATTTTCGGGTTTAAATTTACTATCAGGAATAGATTCAATGATTAATTTGATAAATGATATATTATACGCCCGATTTGTTTAGTTTAATACGATATATTTCATGTGTGAAAGTTATGTTTATGTATTAAACAAAAAGTAAGTTACAACGCTTTTTTTGCTAGGTATCATAATTTATGTAGAGCAACATTTATAGTTTGTAGACACATAATTGTCAATTGTCCATCTTTTATATAAACTAAAATAAGAGTTTTAATAAATAATGAAGATCAGAATGTGCAATCTTCCAGACGGCTTATTATCTAGTGTATTAACTATATTTTAGTACCATACGACTATGCGTTAAACCGTTCAAACCTGCTTTTAATTTCATTAACACGAGTTCTGTGTTTACTAAAGATTTAAATCCTGAAACATTTGCCTCCAATTTATAAACAGGCAACTGCAACACCGATCATATTTGATGTAGTCATCATACTAACCTCTATACAGTGCATATAAAACAAATCGACGTAGGCTATTTTTTTTTCGAACAACTATTACATGTTCTATCAACCGCTTTGTCTCGGATGCGGGAGGTCGTGGGTTTGATCCCCGGTCGAGTCATACCAAAGACTCATAAAAACGGTACCAACAGCTGCCTCGCTTGACACTCAGCATTAAGAAGTTAGTGTTATGACGGGTCTGCCTGGTGTCAGGATAATGTGAATGGGTGGGACATTATGCTACATCTCTGCAGACATCGTAGCGATATGACTGAAAAATTGTTAAAGCTACGTTAAAAATCATAAACACCACACATTACATGTTCTGTCTATTTAACCAAATAATTTTTAATAACACTAATTTGCATTAAACTGAAATTGATTCCGTTTAATGTAGCTACCCCACTGTATGTAGATGATAATAATCAATACAATGGTTGAGGGATCAAAAGGCAATTTAGTACTAGTGCTGGCAAAACATGGAGATGCATTAGATTATGAAGCTGTTATGATTGATTTAGTGCCTGTTTAAATTTAGGTGACTGCTTTACGTTTATTGTCTTTTCACAAGCTATAGAACTTGTTTAAAACAGTGTAATTATCCTTACGTACGCTAGCACTCATTTTGGTTTTACTCTATATACTTATCAATTTAGCGTCTGCCATGGATGCGGGAGTTCGCGGGTTCGAACCCCAGCTGAGTCATACCAAAGATTGATAAACATGGTACTATCAGCTACCTCGCTAGATGCTCAACATTAACAGGTTAGTGTTAGGACTGGTCAGCCTGGTGTCAGGATAATGTGACTGGGTGGGACATTATTCTACTTGTCTGTGGCACGATGCTCCAGTGCTAGATATCACTATAAACTGTCACACTAGAGACACAGTAGCGATATGACTTAAATTCTTTAAAGCTACGTTGAAAATCCAAATCAGACAATACATAAAATTTACTTATTTTGTCCGGTGGTACTGCATATGAGTAATCAGATGAGTTGAGCGACTTATATGTACAAAAGTGGAATAAGCAATGGTATAACGTTTTATATGTACGAAGCAGGAGTAACCAACCAATGGTTTGACGTGTTATTTGTCCCATGACGAATCTATTGAAATCTTATGCATCCTCATCAAAAGCATATTGCAACTTACAGTAAGAAGTCGAATTAATTTTGCATTGTAAATACGGTAAATTGTATTGTTTGTTTGTTGTTAGCCATATATTACTGTACCTATATTTAATGAGTTGCTTTTATTTTAGGCATTACAGTTTTTATATCTTCTTTATGGGACCTTCATCGATCCTTAAACAATAACTACACTGTCGTATAGGAAGTAATACAATTTGTTCTTATTAGTCTTTGCTCCGCTTCATCTCTGTTCCTCTTTATTTATTACGATACAATTGTGAAAGTTTTACACGTTGTTTTACAAGTTCAATTCAAAACGAGTTTTTTTTTATCATTACATTAATCTTTCTGGTGATTTAATAACTTTCGATCTTTCATCAGTTTCACCCTTACCATCTTCCATTTTTTGTGTTTAAAAAAAATCAGCTGTTAAAACCTACTTTCGTGGAGATCAACGTTTACTTGCATTAGATATTAAGTTCGTATCTAACATTCTGTTTAAATAAATATGGTTTGAAGATTAATTTCAAATTGCAAGGTTTTTGTCATCGTATTTCAACTGAATTTTATTTTCGCTTAATTTCGCATTAATTATGATGAACTATGCGAAGAATAACATTTACTGGTACAATCTTAGTATTCCCAAACTTTGGAAAAGAAAATTGCACCCATGAATGGAATAAAAGGCGTGTCATAAATGTGACAAAATTAAGTTATGAATGAGTTCAACAAAAATAACTATTGCAAAACGTCTTTGAGAGGGTGTACAGGAAAAGGTGGAGCAAACAAAACAAACAATATTTATACAAATATTACCAAGGTAACGAAAGAATGAAAATTTCAGATAAATTCACCCGACAAGAAATATAACTTTATGGGCTTTTGAACAAAGCATAAATTCAGATATAACGTTAGAAAAACTTGCTGTTGCATTAATTTCATTTTTTTACAGACTGCGTGTACGGGAGAGTTATATATATATATATATATATATATATATATATATATATATATATATATATATATATATATATATAATGGGATTATTCTGTGTTTGACTATTCAAGTCATGATAACGAGAAAAGTAAAACGTTTTCAAGTCAATCAAATCATACATCTGAGCTGGAGAAAACTGATCAAGAACAAATGATTACAATCCAGAAAATAAATAGAAAAAGATGATATAAAAGTAAATAGAAAAGAGTAGTAGAAAAGTAAATAGAAAATGGCAGCATAAAAATAAATCCTTCTAAAGGTGTTAAAATTATTTCTGACAATATTTGAAATAAAATATTTTGTTTTGTTGTTTAATTTGAATTTTCTCTGAATCATATACATATATCAGAGCAGCATTTTCTGCAGTCATTATAAGTGAAACAATAGCATTTTAAAAGTCCAGTATACCTTTATTGGGCGTCATTTTCAGAGTTTTTAATATCAATGTTCTGTTGTTGTTTTTCTCTGTTGTTTTTTTTTTAGCACTCAATCCTGAATTTGCCAATACCACTCTAATGAAAAAACCCAGAACAGTATCTAATTCCCTTCAGTGATAAGTATTATATGTAATTTATTTAAATTATTAGTTTAAATAAATTTTATTCCTTATATTATTGTCTCTGACACTGGCTTTTATTTTAACCGCTCTTACATTTATTAAAGTGTTTATTTTTGTCGATGTTTGTTTTAAGTCCATTTTATTCAACTCTTGTCTTTTGAATATTTGCCAATTATTTCTCTGTATGCGATATTTACTGTTCTAATTATTATTTCGTATTCCTCTCCATTGAAGATGGCTTTACTGTCTATATCTCGTTTAGATTTACTCTTATTTTTATCTTCTTCAAAATCCAGTTCTTGTCCAGTTTTTTTTTTAATCAGTATAATGAAACAAGAAAACCTGAAAGGGACTGACTTTCTACTGACTGAAAATAATGTCCAAGAATACAGACAAGGCCATTTTTCTTTTTCAACTACCCAGTGTTGAAACCATCAGTGACAATCTTTAGCAATAACAAGAGTTTTTCATTAGTTGCTATGGTGGACATATTGGATATCAGATTGGCACCAATATCATTTAGGATAAAGAAAGTATCATTAAAAGCCGTTTGGTGTAAACCTCGTGTCAGAATGATCATCCATTCAAGAGGAGTAGCAAGAAAAGAGTTTTCAAGACAGCATTCGTGGCAGTCAGACACCAGTTTCTTTTAGAAATGATAAGTTAGTCGTTGCCTGGCGTTTTTCCCCCAACGAATTCAGTGGACAGGTAGCAAAGGACATAGTGTTTTGAGGAAACAAATAATCAATTGATGAATACGCTGGCAGGGGCCTGATACTTAAACAGACGAAAACGTTTTTTATTGTATTAGGGATGAAGAGTTAGAGTTTGGAAAACAAATAACTAAAATAATATTAGGTGGATGGTGAACTAGTTTTAATGTTAGAGTTTGAAAAAAAAATACATACCTGGAAAAATTATGCATGCAGACTTGAATAAAGAACTGTATTATAATATGGATGCCATTTAATGGCATATAAAGAGTTTTTCACATTTCAACAACAGTCACAAGAGTTGTCATTTGTTTCAATTTCTCTGTTCAAAAATAGATGTTGTACACCATTCTGTACTCTCCTGACATGGGTGAGAAGACGGTTTTCCCGTTCAAAAATAGATGCTGTACACAATTCTGTATTCTGTAGTCTGCTGGCAATGCTAGCAAAGTGGCTGTCTGCCACCGTGTCCACAATGAACTTAACAGTCAACGAATGTCCGACTAACATATAAATGAACACTGTTGTTTGAGTTGATAGCTATGTTACGTATACATATTTTAATAAGGTTCGTGAGTAACGTATACACAGATAATACAGCAGTTTCTGGGTACCGTGTGTGCTTGTGTGATTTGTATTTGTAACTAGCTTTAACATTTGTTTAGTTATATAGCAATGATATCTGCAGTGTGGCACCGGGACATCAAGCCGCATACATGTATTATCATATTCCACCCACTTTATTAAGACTCAACCAGGGTTCGAACCCGCGACCTTCCGCATCCGAGGCGGACGCTCTAACCATTGGGCCACTGGAATGATCTGAGTAACGTATTACCCCTCATGCAGACTACATATAGACAAAACAAAGGCAATTGACAATCTTGCCAAATCAAAGGAAGCAATGCTTGTATGTCTATTGTCTTGGAGTTAATGCTGTCCTACAGGTGCATTCATCAGTACGAGAAATATCAACTAGGCTTGGTGAACAGTTTATTGTTAGAAACGCACACACTATTACATTGTCGTTGGTACATATCTAGAGATCTGACCTGGGTCTCTCGCTGCACAAAAAATATATTAATGCAAATCGCGAACATTTCTTCCTTTAGCGATAGACTACACCGTCCGCTGTTCACAAAAGATGCACGTTTACTGACCACTAGATCGGATTTCCGGATATCCGGTCGCTAGGTAAACTCATCAGCTTTCTCGTGGCTCACGTACTTTTTGTACTATCCATTCTTTTTACTCACTTTCTCAAAGTTATACCTATACTTAACGCTAAGGCTGTGAAAGGAAAAAAAAAGTCCCTGTGACAATCACAAAAGAGGAAAGCTGGTAAGTGTATTCATTAGCCAAGCAAAACATGTACATAAGACTGTTTTAATTCACAGAGGAATCCTGAACAATGTCCGTATGGTGTGAAACTTGTATTCCAATCAATCAGTCTTTGCAAGCAGCCGTAGTTTTGTTTATTTCATGCACGCTTTGCTTGTAGAAAATCTTTTGGGGGGGGGGGGCTTGTAGAATATTCACATTCGTTAAGCACTATAGAATTTGTCCTTCCATCAACTATTTTCAGATTAATAAGCCCATGTGCTTATGAAGAGCCACTGAGAAAAATGTATTACAGGTGTTTAATGTATCAGTGCATTCTTTAGGCCCAATATTTGTGTATCTAACACTTTTATTCATGCATGATCCTACCGCCATATAAGCAGTTTGTAGAAAATTAAGACAAGTGTTGAAAGCAAGGATATTTATTGTTTACAACATGATGTTATAATCTCTGCAGTGTGATAATACTGTCAATATAGGACAAGATTTACAATTTAGTAAAGCTTTTTCATCGTAGGGTGTGTTATCAGTAGTAAACAGGCTTTTCAATACATTTCAAACTTTCTCAGATCCTAAAGGTGCTTTGTTAAAAATATATTGGTTGTACCAAGTGTTAAAGATATTAACTTAGTAATGACTTCTACTATTATGTAATAATACTAAGTTAGTACTAACTTTTTGTACTATTTTGTAATAATACTATTAACTTAGTACTAACTTTGTATACTTCTTTGTAATAATACCATTAACTTAGAACCAACATTTTATGCTATTTTCATACTATTAACATAGTACTAATTTTTGTACTATTTTGTAATAATACTATTAATTTAGTACTAACATTTTGCACTATTTTGTAATAATACAATTAACTTCTACTAATATTTTATGCTATTTTCATACTGTTTTGTAATAATACTATTAACTTAGTACTAACCTTTTATGCTATTTTATAGTAATAAAATTTTTACAGTACTAACATTTTATGCTATTTTCATACTATTTTGTAATAATTCTATTAACTTAGTGCTAACGTTTTGTAATATTTTGTAGTAATATAATTAACTTTGTACTAACTTTTATACTATTTTGTAACCGCTACGGTGGCCTAGTGGTTAGAGCGTCCGCCTCGGATGCGGAAGGTCGTGGGTTCGATCTCCGGTCGAGTCAAACCAAAGACTTACAAAAATGATACTAACAGCTGCCTCGCTTGACGCTCAGCATTAAGAGGTTAACGTTAGGACTGGTCGGCCTGGTGTCAGGATAATGTGACTGGGTGGGATATTATACTACATGTCTACGGCATCATGCTATAGTGCTAGACATCACTTTAAACTGCCACACTGCAGACATCGTAGCGATATGACTGAACAATTGTTAAAGCTACTTTAAAAATCATAATCCCATCACATTACTATTTTGTAATAATACTATTAACTTGTTTCGATGATTTCTTTAATCAGTGTCATCGTTCCGTGTTAATGATTAGAGACTGGATAATAATTTCATACGAATACTTTTCTGGGCATTTATCCTGAGCAACTGACCTATTGAGTGCAACGATCTGCAGTTACAGAATATAATAGTTTCTTAAGCAGCATGGTCGCCATAACCGAATGGGCGTGTCTATCTTTTCAAACAAAAGATGTGAGGTAGTTCACAGTCTTTGATAATCTCAGCAATTCCGTCAATTTTGGAGTCACATTTCTTTGAAAACATGCGTACAAGAGTTCCTCATTTTTATTTGTTCAAATTGTTGTAGAAATATTAAAACTAGACAATACAAATTGTACGCAGACGACACAGCTTTTATTCAAATGACCTGTTCTAGAAACCAGGAAAGAATAATGTTATTTACATCATGTATCTTCTTATTTACATCAAAAACTTCCCTTTATTTTTAAATGCCAATATGTTTACACTGTTAAGCCCCGCCCCCGCTTCGCCCCAGAACTCCCTTTTCCTTCCTCAGCAGGCAACAATCAGATTAAAAATTTAGAAATTAATGAAAGTTTTGTGCATTTTTTATATTGTTGAGGTTGACAGGTACAAATGGACGTGAGGGTCTGCGAATAATGAAAAGCTTTTATAATTTTTTTTTTAAAAAAAAGACCAATTTTTGCTAACAAATGCAGATTTTCAAATTTTGATATCAGTCGGCCACTCATCAATTCTGCAATAGGCAGTTACCTTGTCTGGCTAATGAGAAAACCGTAACTGTGTGGGTGCTCGAAAATATACGAAATTATATTTACTTGTTGAAGGAAATGGTCAAGACATACTTCTTATAAATATATATATATATATATATATATATATATATATATATATATATATATATATATATATATATATATATATATATATATATATATATATATATATATATATATATATATATATATATATATATATATATATATATATATATATATATATATATATATATATATATATATATATATATATAATCCCTCCACTATATTTGTCGACTTTGTTTCCTTCCAAGACATGTAAATAATCGTGATTCCAACGACATACCAGAGGAGTCCACCATTTTATATGACAGGTAAATGTGATGCTTGATGCATCCATTGTGTCAGTTATATTCTTCAGAACTGAGTTATTTTAACTGCAATACTAAAAACGATTTAATTTTGAAATTCGGTTTTAATTTAACTTTTGATTCAGTGATTTTCTTTGTCAGACAGAAATCTGAAGAAAGCAAAATGCACAATTCATTCTTTCATTAACACCCCTTACCTGTTTGTTGGCTCGTTAAACCTGGGAATAAATTTACATTTTATAATACCTTAGGACGTGTTTAGACCCGTTTCTTTAGTTAAGGTTTCACCCCACCCCCATATATATATATATATATATATATATATATATATATATATATATATATATATATATATATATATATATATATATATATATATTTCACACACACACACTAACACACTAATACACACACACACACACTAACACACACAATTCATATATTCTTTCAGCAGAGGTTTTAATAAAATTAATCACTATATCTGATATATATATATATACATACATATATATATATATACATATATATATATATTAAAAATTGCATGTACTTAATAATACATTAATTCGACAAACTATTTTGTTCGTGTCTCTAATTATTAGACTCGGAGCCATATAAACAATGACAACCAATGTTTTAAGTAATGTATAGAAGCTATGACAAAAAAGCCCTAGTCAAATGGTTTCAATTTTTCCTCATCTTGATTTATCTCTTTGCTGACATAACTAAATTTAATGGAGTATCTCTCTGACTATGATCACTTGTAATATTATGTACCGTAAAAAAGGGTATTTTTCTGCCGAGTTTTGACGGAATTTCGGTAAAATTGACGATTCAATGTCTCACATGTTTATATTCTTCCGGCTAACCAAGAAAGTAAATAGTATCATACGTAAATTTAAGTGCACATATTGTTTATTTGTAAAGAAAAGTTTATTAATATCTTTTAAAATTACAATATTAGAAAAGACCCAATATACGGTATATATTGTAACCATCTCAAAATATCCCCCACCATAGTATCCCCATAGCCTAGTCCGCCAAGGTTTATCTTTTTTTTAATAAAAATAATCCGCAAAAGATTCAGTTTATGAAGGGACGGGTTTTGTTATTACATGTATGTATTAAAACTTTAAACCTATAACCTGCACGTTATAACAGTTCTTTCAAATTAGCACATGGTAGAAGCTTAAAACATAATAAGTGCTCAGTTGGACCTGTTGAGAGATTACGTTATTTTCCTGATAAATACTTGATGCATTTAAATGAACGTCACTTTTGGTTACGGTAGACTACAATCGGCCTTTATGCGTAGAGTAACTTAATTATCCCATTTTCATTTGGAAGAAATAGCTTCAGGACAATACAAATGTATAGCTTGTGAAAGACCTTAGTTAGACGCCTCCAAGACCCTGCTTGAATATTTGTAGCTGTTTTATATGCTACATTTTTTTTAAAGAACACTTTCAAATCCAAGGACTGATATTTGCTTTTTTGTTTTTGCTGTTGCTGTAATATTTTGATAGTGGTCATCGTGTCGGTCATACTTCATTACACTAGACTTAAAACCATTCCAATTTGAACAACTTCATTACACCACAGGAGTAGTAATTGTCTTTTTTAAAAAAAAAAACAAAGTAGTGTTGCCAGTATTTGGGGGTTATGTTCATGGCAGTCTACTTTAAGGCTTCATTTATTGTATTATTATTATTATTATTATTATTATTATTATTATTATTATTATTATTATTATTATTATTATTATTATTATTATTATTATTTCAGACCATTTATGAAAAACACACAAAGACTAGCCATACTGGAGGATGGTGTCGCCAGGAGAGCAAAGAGGACAGCGGAAAACATTGGACAGACAAGGATCTCGTGAAGGCCTTGGTCGAGCTCTTTAAAGGAAA